GGTATAGGGTTTAGGGTTTAGAGGAATATAATGTTGTCTGAGAAGCGTTCCGCCTTTAGTAAGTTTTTCTCTCCCTAGTGGTATTAACTTCACAATGCAGCCTAAACAACAACAGCACTAGTAATAACAGTGGTAGCCACAACATCCCAAATTCCTTGTCGAGAGATGGGCATCTTTTAAAGTGTCATCCCGCGCGGCCGCCCCGTCAAAGCAACAAAATCCTGATAACAAGGGTTTGTAAAAAGAAGGCCGAAGACAGAACAACCCCTTTCAGTCGCACAGTTGTCACTTCTTCATTCCCATGCTTTCCAAACCTTGTATATCCTTGCATCCTACTTCTTTGATCCTCAAACGTTTAAGTCCCTTAGCCTTCAAACCAAAGCGTTGGATCCCAAACCACCCCACACCCAAACTCAACACACCCAAGTCCTTTTTGCAAAGAAAAAGACCAGCAAGAAGAAGACAAACAAGAAGAAGAAGAAGACGAAGAANNGCAGCAGCAGCAACAACAACCGCGCAAACAACGACCACAACCAACAAGCCCAGGAACTGCGCCAACACCTTCGACTCCGACGGAATCCTGCTGATCGAGGCGCGGGGGCTCAAGGCGCCGCTGCCGGAGCCTACGCGCCCTGGCCGGAAGGGTATATAGGGTGGGCGTTTAGGGTTTAGTTCGAAAAGAGATCCATGATCTGGAGAACTGTTCCACCAAGTGGCCTCTCATCCTATACGGCATATCAGTAGTCTGGAGCGAGCAGCCGGTGACAAGACTTGCTATTCTTTTGCGTGCAACCCTGTCATTGTGTTTTTCTCCCTAGGATCGTTTCGAGCGGGGAGGGGTCAAGGGCAGCTTGAGTTGCGCATTAACTTTAGCCGAGGGCGGTAGGACCATGATCATGGTGACTCCCAAGCCTGAAGCGTAAAGTTTGAGATCGTCTGCGGAGCTTCATGGCTGTGAGGCAGCAATCTGTCTTTCCAGCAGGTTCAGAATCATCTGCTGGCTGAAATGACCCAGTAGTGTACTTTGCAACATGTCTGGGAGTGGAGTTCTTAAAGCCTGGTCCCGAGGAAGCATTACTTCTGGGGCGCGCAGTTCTCCTTCTCCTCCTCAGAGATTCTGTGCGAGGTGCCCTACGATCCGCAGATGCAGATGCCACTGGGCCCATAAGACTGCGTCCTAGACATGTTGAATCGCTACACACTAGCATGCCCCAAGGCTATTCTTTGGCGAAGAGATCCTGACGGCAGTGCGCCTCTACACTCACGGCTGGGTTCCCTGCCCGCAGACAGTTACCTTGTTGGGATTGTAGCGTCCTGTGCTACCTGCATAGGTACAAGCTGTGAGACACATGATTCCAGAGTGCGGGGGAGTGCTATTTTCCACTGGCCCAGTTTGCGCATCCAGAAAAATTGGCTAATATATAACCCCCATAAGCCCCTGTA